CCTAAAATGATACCAACCAAGAGCCCACACGCTGTTTTATCTTAATTATGTAGCTACAAATATATCTTGACAATATCACTCTTTAATTAGCCTATTAAAAGTGCTTAACTTTCTATTTTATAAAATTTTCATTAATTCAAAATTTTCTTTTTAAATATTTAAATTACTTCTAAAAATTATTTCATTACTTATAATAATTATAATTGTAATATACAAATTATGAAATCAAAATCTCCTATAATTATAAAATTTGTTCTCGCTCTTTTTTTAAACACAATATACTGGTATGCTTAAAGCTAAAATACAATATTTAAATGATCAATAGAAAAATTGCTAAAATTATTTACCTATGTTCCTTCGACACTATTTTCTTCCTCTCTTGATATCTCATATTGCATCTCCTTCTCTCAGTCGCTCGCTCAAGACCTCAAGTTTGCTTTCATGATCCTCTTAAGCATGCATGTTTCACCTGAGCCTGCTCGTCACCGACCTCATGCATGCATCTCTCTCTCTTTCTCTCTCGGCTGCTTGCCCGCTGATTTCCATTCAATGGCTTGATCAGTAGTTTTCCCTAGATGCCCCCTCTTTCTCACATTTTTAAGGTGCAAATCTCCTTTGTATTTGTTGTGGTTGAACAGACTTGGACCTTTTGCGGCGCACACCTTGTTGTCTTTGATCATGGAGTGGAATCGACTTCTCTGTCTTCTTGGGCACCGAGTGACAAAAATGACCCCTTCCCTTCATCTTCTTGTCGGTTAGGGATATTACATTAGTTACCAAAGACAACAAAGATGCACTTGATTTTTCTTGTTTCACGGCTTAAACCATTTTGCACCTAGCCACATGGCCATGAAAGTTGAGCGTTGTCAACCATTGGTGAAACCATTGGCTATTCTTAACTGGTTTTTCGTATTACATAATAAGCAACAAACTACACAATTTTTAATCCAATGGGAAGTATTATTGTTTGAAGATGCCTCATGGGTTCTTATAAAAGATTTGCAATCCTTTCACTCGGATTTCCAGCTTGATGACAAGGTTGTTTGTACATGAGGGCAGTAATAATAAGAATCTATCCAATATAACGGTGAGGCACCAAACTAGAACACAAAGGCAACCGTGGTGGATGATAAATTTTCGTGGCAAGTTAAGTTCAGCTAAAGCTAATTGGAATGTAATAAGTGTAATCAGAGGATGTGTTGTAGTCGGTTATGAGAGGATGTGTTGTAGTCGGTTATGCTATGACTGACATGTTGTCGCAGAAGAGGGTCGTTGGATGAGGGGTGGAGATGCAAAAATCGGCCAGAAGACGTCGAAGCCATAAGACTTCAGCTGGGGCAGCTGCAAGCGCTCTATATTCCGCCTCAGTGTATTATCGTGCTACTGTATGTTGTTTCTTGACAAAACATGAGATGAGAGTGTTACCTAGAAATCAATAGTGACCTGATGTAGATCGTTGGGTGGTTGGATTGCTAGCCCAGTCGGCATCTGAGGGAGAAGTAAGTTGTAGGGGTCCGGATGATATGGGTAAGCCGAAGCTGCAGGTACCTTTGATGTAGCGTAATAGTCGCTTGAGCTGATAGAAGTGGGCCGGCTGTGGATCATGCGTAAATTGGCATAGGAGGTTAACCGAATATGTTGTATCTGGTCTGGTTATTGTGAGATATTGAAGTGATCCTGTGAGTTGGCGATAGATGAGCGGAGTTTGAAGAAAAAGATTGGAGAAGGGTTGGAGGTTTGGTTTAGTTGAAGTTGGATTGGAGAGAGGATTACATGTTTGAAGGCTAGCCTATTGAATGATAGATGTGGCATAGGCGGTTTAAGAGACAAAGTAAGCTTGAGAGGTTGTTTGTACGTTAATGCCAAGGAAATTGTGAGAAGTGCCAAGGTATTTCATGGTGAATTTGTGACTGATTTGTTGGATAAAGTTATAAGCATTGTGGTGGGATTGTTTCCTGTGAGTAGAATGTCGTCGACATGGATTAGGAAATATAATATTATGTGATCTTTGGATAGAATGAGAAGAGAGTGATCGGCCTTGTTGTGAGTAAATCCAAGAGATTGGAGGTATTTGGAGAAGGTACTGAACCATTGACGGGGGTTTGTTTGAAGCCGTAGATAGCTGTGGAGGAGACATACATGATTGGGATGTAGTGTATCTTCGAAGCCACGGGGTTGGGACATGTAAATGGTTTGTTAAGATCTCTATGAAGGAATACATTAGCAATATCTAGTTGATGCACAGGCCAGTGATGATGGAGAGCTACGGTAAGGAGGACTCGAATAGATGACATTTTGGCTACAGGTCTGAAGGTATCGTTGTAGTCAAGACCATATTCTTGACGATGGCCTTGAGCTACAAGTCTGGCTTTATAGCGAGCTAGAGTATCGTTTGAGTGGTATTTGGAATGATAAGCACATCTGAACCTTAGTATGTTGTCTTTGGGGGGGAGAGAGACTAGGGTCCATGTTCTCTATTTTTGCAAGGCTAGGAATTCGAAAACCATAGCCTCTTGCCGGTGCTGGTATTTAGCCGATTTTGAGTAGGTGGTTGGATCGGTATTTGGTGGTGTGGCTGAAGGCTGGAGGGTGTGAATTAAGTTGAGTAGGGTGCGAGGTTTGAGGGAACCAGTTTGTAGACGGATTATCATGGGATGGGGAATTTGCGTTGATTGTGCAAGCTGTGGAGATGCTAGTGAAGCAGATGTAGAGGATGACACTGGGAAATTGTTGGGGGAAATGTGGTGGTTTGGTGGAGTTGCCGAGGGTGAAGAGGTAGGAGCTGAGATATTTGTGGGAGAATGTGAGGTTGGGAGTTAGGAGAAAAGGGTTGGTATATTGAGAAGTTGGTGGCTGGTTTTTAGGAGTTGGAGGCGAGGATGAGTTGTATGGACATGTATGCTCATCCAAGACAACATGGTGTGAGATAATTATTTCATTTGTGGATAAGATTAGACATTTGTAGCCCTTACAGGAATCAGAGTATCCCAAGAAAATACATTTGGGAGCTCGAGGTGCTAGATTATGCCTTTGAGCCGGGGGTAACCAGGGTTAGCACACACACCACCCGGGTTAGCACACACACCCGAAAGTTTTGAGAGGTGAATAGTTTGGTTTTTTGTTATAGAGAATTGAAGAGGAGATATGTTGGCTGTGGTGGGAGAGGGCATGCAGTTGATAAGATGAATGACAGTAAGAGCTGCGTTGGGCCAAAATTGATAGGGAAGGTTAGCCGTGTGGAGCAAGGTTCGAGTAGTTTCGGTGATGTGCCTGTTTTTGCATTCGGCAGTGTCGTTTTGCTCTGGGGTACATGTACAAGAGATTTGGTGGTGAATGTCATTTGCTTGGAGAAATTATTTTAGCGTCGAATTTAGAAATTCCTTGCCGCCATCTGTCCATAAGCATTTGATGGAGTGAGATAATTGTTTTTCAATAAAAGTTTTGAAATTAATAAAGATTTGAGGAACCTCTATTTTATGAAGCAATGGAAATAGACATGTAAGACAGCTTAGCAAGAGATGCACAAGAATATCAGTGAAGCAATGCAGAAATTTTATGATACCACATAGGTTTCATATTAATGTAAAAGTTTTCATTACTGTTCAGTGAGGTACATGGTTTATATAGAGTAAGCTAGTACACGTGTAAGGCTAGGATAACAACTGTTTGTTAAGCCTGAACGGTGGATGGTTTGCTCAGTTTGTTACTTTCAGAATATTTAGTAGTGGAAGCTTGCTCCTTTAGTAACCATCATCTAGTTGTCGTCCATCTACAATAGTTTTGTTGTAACTACCGTCCATCTTTGCTAGGAACAACTATGCTCTTATAACCTGATTTGAAAAACTGTAAATAACATGCTACAGTTGACAGTGCAGCCATGAGAATATTTCCTGTAATATTTTTCTTTCTTTTTTTTTTTTTTTTTTTTTTTTTTTTAAAGCTTTTTTTTTTTTTTTTTTTTTTCATTTCTTAAAGCTTATACAACAACAACAACAACATCAAGCCTGTCTCCCACTACGTGGGGTCGGCTACGTGAATCCTTTTTCGCCATTGTGCCCTGTTAAAAGTCAAATTCTCATTTAAATCTAATAAAGAAAGATCATTTCTAATATTTTCTAACCAACTCTTTTTAAGTCTACCTCTACCTTTCTTAACACAAGTCAAATCTAATACCTCAACTTTCCTAACCAGGTCATCAGAAGGCCTCCATTTAATGTGACCAAACCATCTAAGGCGACTCTCTCTAATCTTATCTTCCAGTGGAGCTACTCCAACCTTTTACGTATATGCTCATTTCGTATCCTATCTCTAGGGGTAAAGCCACTCATCCACCTAAGCATCCTCATCTCTGCAATGTTTAACTTAGTATTATGCTTGTCTTTTAATGGCCAACATTTGGCACCATAAAGCATTGCAGGTCTCACAACCATCTTATAGATCATTTCTTAAATCTTCTGCTTTCAGAATTTTGAAGTTTGAACCACTCAAAAGAATTCAATTTGGAATCTTGATCCCATCAACTTGGTAGAACCCTAGTAAAATTAGCAAAGTATGACACAAACTTGGTAAATCTACTAGGGTTCATGCGCACCCCCATGTAATTCATAGACCTTCATAAAATTATAAGAGATCTGAACATTTGTAAAGTTTTAACACTTTGATGAACCCCCTTGTATCTTACTAGAATGTAGTATATTTATTTTTTGACATCCATGCACAAATCTACTTAGAAGGTATAAAGTACTACCTCAAGCTGTTGGGATTGTGGACTGTTGTGGTATTCTTGTGTTATTGGAGAGATTATTCTGTGTGGCGTCCAAACACATCTGGAGGCAAATCCGGACACGCCACGTCACCAGATGCATTGGGCCCCTGGTAACGTGACGCGTCCGGATTCGCCTTCGGACGCGTCTAGACGGCGCACAGAATAATTTTTCATCCTTATTTCACTTATCTATTAGGTGGGAAGATATCAGAAACTTCTCATGATTGGTGTGCAGGAGAAAAAAAAAAGATTACTGGAGTGTGCTCTCCTCTGCAGGGCCATCACTCTGTGAGTGTAAAGCTGAGGTGCAATGGGACCTGTATATTCTGTGCTTTCCTGTTCTACAAAACCTTCCAAGTCTTTTGCCAGTTTTGCATTTTGACATTACACGAGTTCAGAAAATTTTTAATCTTTCGGTCTTACTAACATTTATTTATTTATTTATTTCTTTGACGACCTGTGCTAAGTAAAAAGTTGTGATTATGAAAATTTTGGTTTGTATTGTAATGTATGCCTTTCAGGTTTTGGGATTCTTATACATTGTTGATGTTGTTTTATGTAAAATAATTTATATATTTTAAGAATGTTGGAAGAGGAAGAGAGATTCTTGCTCTTTTTTTGATGAGAGAGAGCTTTATTTGAGATGAAAAATAATATACTCATAATTTTTTTATTAGTATTAAAAATGGAATTTAATTTGAGATTAATTATTTTTTAATTTAACTACTAATCAAAATTCTCAACATATTGCAATGAGTTATTAAGTCGGACATGAATGACTTGGAAAGGATCTATCTGTTGGTAATGGGAAATTATTGAGTTGGACAATGTCTAGATTCCAATAAAAATGTGTCACATTATCCTCTATTCGGTATTGAGCAGCACCAAACAGTAACGGTACTATTCAGTATCGAGATTGGTAATGCTCGGTACTGTGAAGTACCGAACTCAGTACTTTACAGTATTGAACTCAGTATTACTCAGTACTGTGAAGTATCGAACGGTAAATTGTGTCCGGTGTCCGATCCCAATAATTTCCCGGTGGTCAGTGATGTGGCTTTATGCAACTTTTGGTCTTTTCAAGAAAGGTTGCTTCTTGTTTTCATTGACGAGGCCTTTGAGCGCAGCATCTGCTTCACTTTTGGAAAAAAAAAATTAATGTAAGAATATTTCGTTGTAAAATATATTAAAATAAATTATTTTTTTAATTTATGTATATTAAAATTAATATAATTTAGCACATTATATAATATTAATTTTTATATCTTCAAAAGTTTATTATGTTATGTTTTATATTAGATTACTATGATTTTTTTCCTCTTTTTTTGTTTGGGAACACTCCAAATTAGGGAATGTTGTTTGGAGACCAACAATAATGTGTCATGTCATCCTTTTGTTAGATACTGCGGTTTGATGTCGTTGATGTTGTTGCACTTGATTCGCCTCCGAACATACAGTTGCGTCCAAAGTTCGCACAAAATAATTTCTCCTCACTCATCTTGATGCCTTTTAAATGTCTAAGGAAATGCAGGATTTCAAATAATAGGGATGGCACGTAACTCTTTTTGATTTTGTTAGTTGGGAGCTTTGGCTGACAATTAAGAGGTTTGGGTCTTAGTTTTACGTATGTGATGTGTGTATAAATTTGTATTAATTGATCGAAACGTCCCTTTTCCGATTTCCGGCCAACAAAAAAGAAAAGATGAAGACTTTGTGCGATCCCATTGTATACAACGTCGTTGCAAGGGTGTCATTCTAGTTAATTTATAGCATTCTTTATGTTCTCATAATATGATTTCTAGCATTAGTCAAAAAGGTCTTATAGACAAAGGATATCCTGTGTTTGAAACTTCAGTTGGGTGGAAATATTCGGCTAATTTTTTGACAGAAATGAATTTGGATCTTTGCAGCTGAAACAAGCAATCTCCATCCATTGCAGCTTAGCTTGACATTGTTAAGGCTTCGTTTGAGATAGTTTACTTATTATTTTATGAAGTGATTTTTTTAGTATAAAAATTTTTTGAGTCAGAAATTTTTGTGCTAAAAACTACTATATTTGAGATAGCTTTCTTTCTGCTTCTTAAAACAACTTTTTTTTCAGTACAAAATTAATGCTTTAAGATGTAATAAAAAAAAGCCATCTCAAACGAAGCCTAAGGCTTCGTTTGGGACGGCTTTTTTATTGCTTTCTAAAATGGTGTTTTAGTACAAATTTTTTTATTTTTGTACTAAAACTCCGTTTCAGAAAGCAATAAAAAAGCCGTCCCAAACTAAGCCTAAACCTAAGTTTGAAACTTATGTAAATAATAGGGATTTTCAGCTGCAACTTTTTATAGTGATGAGGTACGAAACTACTTGAACATGTGATTCTTTGCTCTTTGGTCAAATATTTTGAAGTAGTTTTATGGTAAATGTGAAATGATTTATTTAGTATTTATTATTATTACTTTCATTTATATTTTTTAAACACTCAAAATAAATTTAAATTTTTTAATTATTTTCACAAATAATTATTACCTTTGGCCTCTGAAACCATTGTCGCCCACTAGCAACCACCAATAATCGCAACTAATAAATATCATTTTAAATAATTAATTAATTATTTTTAAAATATCAAAGATATTTTATTTTTAAATTGAAATGTAAGTAACATAAAACAAAAGTAAAAATAATCCCAAATGATTATTGAATTTTTCTTCTTCATTCAAATAGAATAAAATTATTCACCATAACTTTTACATCAACATAGAACATTCAAAACTCGACCATACATTGCACCTAACAATGCAAAAAAAAAAAAAAAAAAACTCGACCAAATTAGTAAAGTTACTTAGATGCCTTTGCACTGAAAAGCCTTCATAGTTCGATTCATGAGGATTGACAATTTATGAGAATCCAGTATTAAATTTATTTATCTTACACAAACAATTTCACCATTTGAGAACCTCTATTTCATTCTTCAACTTGTAAATATTTTATGAATATAAAAAAAATCTTATATTTAGAAGATTAAGAGTTTGTTTGGTTGCAACTAATCATAGTGTAAAGTAGATCAATCGTTGCTGATTGCCATCAACTGTCATCAAAGTCATCCACTACCGTCATTTGTTGTCACCTGCCATGGAATGATGCCTGCGGCTACAATTGTCGTCACCTACCTCCCGTAACACGCTGCTGCCCACCACCCCTGTCATGGGCTATAACATGCATTTGCCTGTCGTTGGCCTCCCCTCGTCACAACTTTTCGCAGCCAGTCATCTACAACCACCACCAGCCACTTGTAGCCACTATTGCCATCACTATTTCGTTGAATGCATTATATTTATTTTACTCTATATACACTTATTTGCGAGGTTAATTCCGAAAAAAGCTATATTATAAAAAAAAAAATGATATTTTTACTTATGCTCGTTCTAAATGTAAATGTAAAGTTATATTTGACCTTATTAATTTTATATTAATATTTGTAGAAATTGTTACTTTCAACTAAATATTTAAGTAATTAATTTGTAAATGATATGCTTCAATTCATTTTGTTTCGATTTTGATACTCTATTAGAGTTCTTTGGATTTCGAATTTGTAATGCATATCGCATGGTATGTGATATGAGAGTTCATATATATATATCATCAAAAAAATTTCCTGATAGAGCACGAATATCGAGATCAATTCGTATTAGAAATTTCTGAAATTAAATCTGAGACCATTTGAACTCTGATTTCAACAAATTTATACTCCAACTGAGTGTCTCGAAAAACAAAACCCAACAACACCAAATTTGTTCAAATCTGACCTCAAATGGTTTCAAATCAATGACCCAAAGTGCATTTGGAAGGTTCAAAGCATAAATCGGACAATCAAATGATTTTCAAACGTGACATTCTTATAGTCGAATCGAGCAGCTCGACAAGACGAATCCAACGATCCTAAGGTCGAGGAATTCTGGCATCATTAAGTCACTTAAATACTCGATAAACAATCCATTATCAAGGGAATCAATATTGGTCATCTATTTGAATCACTCACAACGTGTCCTTGATCTTATTCTTATTTATTGGTCATGCCACTCCCAAAAAATTATAAATAGACCCCTCATTCTTCACAAAGGAGTGAGTAAAAAAGAGAGAGGGGAGGAGAGGAAGAGAAATTTGATATTTCTATTGCTACCAAGCTCCTCCAAGACCATCGCCCAACCCCTAACTGTTGTCGGACTTCCGCATGACGACCAATTGTTGTAGGACTTATTCTCGGACAACAATTATTGTTGGACTTTCATCTGGCCACCAACTGATGCCGGATGTATGCCCGATAATTGACTATCACCAAAATTTCACCCGACCATCAATTGTCGTCGAATTTTCTCCCGACCACCGTCATCCCACTTCAATCCTTCCAACCATTGCCACCCAACCATTATCTTTTTTACCACTGCCGCCCGCTGACTACGATTCTTTTGACTTTCGTAGTCTGATAACGATTTTTCTGACTATTGCCAATTACGGTACCCACTGACTACAGTTCTTAAGACCTTTGTTTTCTAACTATTGTCTTTCTGGCCATCGTTGCCTACTGTCTATGGTCCTTCTAACCACCATCGCAAGACTACAGTCTTTCTAACCACCATCGCTCACCGACTATAGTCCTTCCGACCTCCATCGTCCAATTACTATCCTTCTAACCACCTTCAACTAACTAAGGTCTTTCCGACCTCCGTTGCCCGACTACGGTCCTTCCAATCACCTTCACCCAACTACGAGCTCTATCGCCCACAGATTATGGTCCTTTCAACCACTATCACTCGACTATGATCTTTACAATTTCTATTTTAACTATATAATTATAAATTAATGTATTTCAAAATAATATTTTATCTCAAAACTTCTATTTCTAGTACACCGCTCGAATATTAAATTGCACAAGAAAGTTTCTTTAACTTAGAAATTTACAAAAAAAAAATCTGATGCATAAAACAAAACAATTTTTTTTTATTACCACCTTTCTTCTCCTTGCCTTTCTCCTCTTCTTCTTTCCTTCCCTCTCATACTCCTCTTTTATCTTCTTTTTATGCAATGAAAAATGGAAATAGCTCGTCAACCTTTTATTTTTTTTTCTTTTAATATTAATTGGACTACTTGTTGGTATCATTGGTGTGAATCTATTACCAGTTTGGACATTGTTGGCATGATTCTACTGCTAATATGAGCACAAATGATATTAATCTATTGCCAGTGTGAATCTTAATACTTCATATTTGTCATTTTGAGAATTATGATTTCATTTGGGATGACTTTCTTGCTGCTTTCTAAAATAACTTCTTAGTACAAAAATTTTTTTGCAGTGAAAAATTATTTTAGAAAGCAATAAAAAAGTTGTCCCAAATGAAACTGATGTCATTATATCTTCCTTTATATTTTCTTAGTGTTCAAATTTATCATATAATTGATGATTTAGTTCCATTTGAAAATTAAGTAAGCTGTTTTTTTATCCTAATATGTATAATAATACTTCATTGTGGACAATTTCAATTAAATTAGACTTTTTTTTAAAAATTTCACATTAAAAATTATAATATAATGTATGCTTCGTTTGGAACAGCTTTTGACCACTATTTCTTTACTGCTTTTAAGTAATTTTTCTGCTAAAAAATTAGTGTAGAAAGCAGTGAGAAAGCTATCACAAATGAAACTCTAATCAATGAAGTTTGAAAATTGTAAATTAATGAATGATAATGACATTCCCATAGGTACATCTCTAATATTATACCCATTTAAACATCTGATTAATCAACTTCAACAAGAAGTTTGGAACAAGTACATATGTATCAAGAAGAGCCTAGGAGATTCTGGAAGCTCATATATTTGTCTTAATCACAAAAATTCATTCAGCTAAATAAATATTTTACTTTGTATTATTACTCTAAATTGATTAATATAAATTTAAATTATGTTAAGTAACAGATCATTCAATTAATAATTTCTCCTATTTTAGACATCAAAATAATATTTAATAAATAATTGAATTAGGGGTAGGGCTGCAAATGAACCGAACGTTCGACGAGCTACTCGTGGCTTGGCTTGATAAGAGCTTGTTCATGTTTGTTTGATAAGATAAACGAACATTTTTTTTTTATAAGATAAATGAACATGCTTGAACACTTTTGATAAATAGTTAAATACACAATAGCTAAATAAACGAGCTTGAACAACTTGGTGTTCTGTTTGTTAATGTTCATGAACTATATCGTTTAATGCTCGTGAACAAGCTCGTTAAGAAGCTCGATTAGAGCTCGACAAAGAAGCTCGATTAAAACTATAATACAATTTTAAATATTATATTTGTAAATTTAATAATTTATTTTTACTAATCCCGTTTAAAATAATTTAATAATTCATTTTTACTTTCAGCATCCGCCTAAAATTACGAACAACCCGCTCTTTGAACAAATATAAGATAAATAATAGATCGTTTGTTCGTGAATGAGCTCATTTGGTAGCTTGAAAAAACTAATTAGATATGTTCATGAACAAGCTCATTTGATAGCTAAAGAATACTCATTAGATATATTTATGAACGAGCTTGTTTGATAGTTTAAAAAATTTCGCTAGATATGTTAACAAACAAGCTCGATGTAATTGTTTATTAGAAGGCTCGATAAGGCTCATTTGTTAAGTTAATGAACACTAGAAGTAGAGCTCGTTTATAGCTCAATAAGGCATGTTTGTTTAAAACTCGATAAGCATGACATGAACCGAACATGAACACCCGATAATTTAAACGAACCAAACTTAAATTCAAACAAAAGAACTTAAATCAAACTTCAACCGAACTTGAACAAGCTGATAATAAACAAACTCAAACATGAACACGCACATACTCGGCTCTGCTCGGTTCGTTTGTAACCCTTATTTAGGGGTGTCAAAATGGGTTAATGGGTTAAATTGGATTCCAACCCAAATTAAATCAACCCAAACCAAATTAGTTTAATAAACAAATAAAAAACATAAACCCGAATTGCTAAAAACTTGAATGACCCAAACCTGCTCCGTTAACAAGTTTTCAGTTAAAATAATTTTTTTAATAATTTATTAAGTATAAAGTTTAGAATTTTTAATAAAAAATGAAAATATTATACCCACAAATAAAAAAAATTAAAGAAAAATGATATTAAATGGTTCATTTTCAGATCAAATACATGTTCCCAGGTCAAACCAAGCCTGCCCCATTTATTAAACAGAATTTTCGAGTCAGGTTGATGGGTCGGGTTATTGATTAACACCCCTATGACAGATGCACTTTTGCTAATATTATTAATTATTTTATTTATTTATTTATTTTGCCTATTATATGGAGCAATCAATTAATGGTTACTAAAATTCTCTCGATTAGACATAATCTACAAAAATACATATAAACTTTGCCCCTTTATAAATTCTTACAAATCAAATTACATAAATTATAATTTTTTGAGCCATTTAGCTAGTCAAGTTTAGTATTTTCCATAACTCCTTAAATGAATTAAAAAAATTGTGCTAGCTCGAGCTCAATTCGAAGCTCGACATCAAAACTCGGTTAAGCTTGAGCCAAACATATTCGAGCTTGAGCCCGAAATTCAAACATGCGATAATTTAGTGCCGAGAACGAGCCCTTCTTAAGGCTCAACTAGATTGACCAGCTTACTAATCAATATGAATTCATCAAAAAAACTCCAACATAGAATGAATATAACAGAAAGATTGAATCAAAGAAGCAATTAGGCCAAAAACAACTTAGGTGAATTTGTTTAAGAATAAAATCACAAAATTCCTTAATCTTTGCACCAAAAATTAGTTGTCTTTTTCTCTTTTCCAGCCAGGAATGCGTCCTGGGTTGCACCACCAGAGCAGATTGATGATGGTTGCACGTCTATTTCTTTGATTATTATTTCTCTATGGTTTACTTTGATAGATAGTATAGAAATCATTTAATGATTACAGAGAATTTCCTTAACAAACACCAAAGAACTTGTCAGTTCTGTACTTCTGATCAAAACTTTCAATCATTCAGAACTATTCAGTATTAAATCAATAGCAACCTGATATTCTGCATTGACAGCTTAGAGCATCTCCAATCGAAAATCTCATTTTTCACTCCGAAATACAGTAAAGCTCAGAAATGTCATGATTCATCTCCAATCGAACTCTACTTTGTGCACTTCTGCGAAGGTAACCGTCTTTCTCCTCTTTCGCAAGTTTCTTCGGCAAATCCGGTTGAGACAGAAAAATCGCGTAGGTGAACAGTGCAACGCCAATATTGAAGTCGCGAAAGATTTGATGTTCAGCTGGAGCGACCGAATGACAGCATACACATATTTGACGTTCGATTGGAGATGCTCTTAATCTGATTTCTTCAAAGTAGCAGCACAGAATATTTCAAAAAAAAATGTCGTCTTTACTGTGTCTTGGCTCGGATTCAATGACCAAAAGAAGAAAACCCAAAGGGGCCACAACTTTTATTTTTTGGTAGGTAAGACCCTGACAACCAAGATCTTCTAATCTTTTATAGTTTCCAACTTGTCTATTGCCAACTGCCGTAAGGAAAAGTCAAGTATCAATAAAGACAAAATTTTTCCTTCGGCCTTTAAGCCTTCCATGTAATAAGAAGAAGCCTCGTCATCTTCCTCTATATATTTGGTAGAGTAGTTGGTGAGCTATGAACAATACAACCTTTCTTCCCTCTTAAATCCACCAATCTTCTCTTCCTTATTCTCTCATAATTCAAATATCTGCTCATCTTCTACATGACCACATATTCTTTCTCTGATCTCTGGTGATGTAGGTGGTCTCTTTATTCCTGCCTCTGCAAAGAGGCTGTTTGCGTTATGAAGGGGAGCTCATGGAGAACTCTCTTCAGTGGCTGTTTCAGGAGCCCGGGCGACTCTAATCTGTTTTCGAAGAAATTGGTATCAGAACAAGGTTCTCTTCAAAGAGTGTCTTCGTCAGAAAATGGCACTCGAAGATCGCTCGCGCTCTCTCTCGAAGACCTCTCAATGTCTCTTGCAGGATCCAAACTCTATGTTTTCACCCTTGCAGAGCTTCAAATGGTGACAGGGGGATTCTCCAATAGCAATTTTCTTGGGGAAGGTGGCTTTGGGCCTGTGTACAAGGGGTTTGTGGATGAGAGGGTAAGGCCGGGCATCGAGGCTCAGGCCGTGGCGGTGAAACTCCTCGACCTCGACGGAGGGCAGGGAGACAGGGAGTGGCTGGTGAGCTCCCAGCTGGTCTTCAATTTGCATGCTATTAGCTTACCTGAAACAACCGAGCGGTACCAAGTACCGAGTGCCGTACATTTTTTTGGGGGATGTGGCACATTTTTATTGGTCTCCGGAGAAATTCGAAACAGCACGTAATAATTTTTCTTATTTGTGACAGGCTGAAGTGATATTTTTGGGGAAATTGAGGCATCCACACCTTGTCAAGTTGATTGGCTATTGCTATGAGAATGAGCACAGGTTGCTGGTGTATGAATATCTAGCAAAGGGTAACTTAGAGAATCACTTATTCCAAAGTGCGTTTTCTGATCTCCTAAACTTTCACTAAATTGCTTAAACATAATTTTTTTACTGTATTAAAGGGATAGTCTTCCTTTGCACCAAATATTTTCATCAACCAAACCTTATAGGTTCCTGTAAAGCAACAACTTATTAGAAAGTTATTTTGGCTCAAAGTTTAATTTAGGCTTCGTTTGGGACGGCTTTTTTTCTTCTTCTTAAAGCTGCTTTGTAGTACAAAATTAAAAAATTTTATACTAAAAAGTTGCTTTAAAAAGCAATAAGAAAGCTGTCCCAAACGAAGTCTTAATCAATCCTTAAAACTTGTTCTGTTATTTTGTTGAGCTAAGATAAATTTTTTTAACCTTCTGAACAGAGCTCTTTCCTTGCTTACCATGGTCAACAAGACTGAAGATTGCTGTGGGGGCTGCTAAGGGCCTGGCTTTTCTGCATGACACTGAGAAGCCAGTGATTTACAGAGATTTTAAAGCTTCTAACATCTTATTGGATTCTGTAATGCTTCTTTTCTTTGCAAGCACTGGATAGAGGACAAGCTAACATAATTAGCAGAAGTATGATTAAAATATAGCATTTAGTCATATGCTGTGCATGTAAGACAAACAAACTATTGAGACATCATTAGATATCAGAAAAATAAAAGAATATTTATGAATTATAAGAATAGAAAAATTATCAGCATGTATTAATCCAAACCTCAAAGCAAAAATCATTATTAATGAAAAAAAAAGAACAAATTAGCAAGAGAGGAAGGCGAACTAGAAATCTAAATTCTTACAAGCTGCCAAGCCCTGTCTAAGGCTTCGTTTGGGACGCCTTTTTACTGCTTTCTAAAATAGCTTTCTAGCATAATTTTTTCTTGAACTAGAAAATATTGTTTTAGATAACATTAAAAAAGCCGCCCCAAACAAAGCCTAAGACGGCACCAATTTGACTTATTACCTCATCAGAGTAGAATCATTTACCAAACTGAGTTCGAGCTTCCTCCCAAGCTGGCTTGGCTTACAATTCTATCAACTTCATCTTTGAAGCAACTCACCATGACCACTCTAATGCTCAGGAATACACAGCAAAACTTTCAGACTTCGGCCTCGCAAAAGATGGTCCTGAAGGAGACAACACTCATGTCTCAACAAGAGTCATGGGAACGCAGGGATACGCTGCACCAGAGTACATCATGACTGGTACATTTCATCAAACACTTTGTAATCATTTCTACTTCTTACTCGTCTAACAAATATTCCCCCAATCTATTGTCGTCCAGGTCATCTCACAACAAAAAGTGATGTATACAGCTTTGGAGTTGTACTGCTAGAGCTATTAACAGGAAGAAGATCAGTGGAGAGGAAAAGGCCTAGCAGAGAGCAAAACCTTGTGGAGTGGGCGCGGCCTTGCCTGAACGATTCCAGGAAGCTTTCTCGAATCATGGATCCCAGTCTTGAAGGGATTTACTCAACCAAAGCGGCACAGAAGGCGGCGGCAATGGCTTACCAGTGTCTAAGCCATAGCCCCAAGTCAAGGCCTCAGATGTCCACCATTGTTGAGAATCTGGAACCTTTGTTGGACATGAATGATGGAATGATAGGCTCCTTTGTGTTCACTGTAGTATCTGAAAATGGTGGGAATGATGAAAAGGAGAAGAAAAATGAGAAGGGGAATAGAAACTGCAACAATGGACAGAGATTTGCTGTGCACAGAAGGTTACCAAGACAACAGTATGAGATTGGGCTAAAAGCAATAAAGGATATGAAGAGAAAAATGGATTCTTAGAGCTTTGGTCAGTCATGTTTTGCAAGTAGATTAGCTGTGCAAGAAGCCCATTGCCATGGCAGTAAGAGCTCTAAATTCAAGCCATCATCATTGATTCAGTGATGTATGTTAGCAAATGAATATGGGAAATATTTCCTCTCATATAAATTTGTATGAACTAAAATTGTATCAAAGATATTTAGATGAAATTTATATAGGAAGATAAAATAAATGCTAAAAATTATAAGATATTTAAACTCTTTGTTAAAACCAAATTAATACAGAGTATTATATATTTTTTATTTTTTAAATATATCAGGATTAATTTTTATTTCATCTTATATGTTATGTATACATATAATGAATAATATATAATTTAAAATCAATATAAACTCATTTTACATAAATTAAAACTAAAAAATAAGATGGTTGATGGAGTTAGTCCAAATCTCTCTCAATTTCAAGGCAATGAACCACCTATCTCAATATGAATGATTTTAAATGAGGAGATTTACATAGATGTCACATATGTTTAATGTATTTGCATATCTAACCTTCAATTTTTAATATTTACTTATATAACATCCAAATCCTTAAATCATATAAAAATATCATTAATACTACCTTTTTTTTATAAAATATAGATTTTTATGTATATATTTTGATGTGATTGAAAAGCTAACGTGTTATAAAAATGTATATCAAAAAATCTAAATGTCAGATGTGTAAATATAAAAGAATTGTATGATATATATGTAAATCCCTCTTTTAAATTTTAATGACAAAACTTAATTAATTTATATGTAAGAGAAGACAATTACAAATTACAATTTTAAAACTTTTTTTTTTTTATGATTAAGATTGTTATATAGATATTAAATACTATAAGCCAAAGTCAAATGAAATTGGCTTTGCTTCACTCATAATCCAACCAAAAATATATTTTTAATGAATAGATGGGAATTATGGTAAGTTATTAAATATTCTTTCCAATTTATATTTCTATCTCATAATTTTAAGAGATTAATGATTATTGAGCCATCATAAATGCCTACCATAATTTAATTTAATTGTGATGAAAATTAATAAGGATAGATTAGGATGTCACCGTTAAGTGATGCAACACAAATAATAGAATGTCACTACAGGAATGTCAAGTATTTCTGACGAAATTTCTTGTCAAAAAGTTGTAAAATTTTACAAAAAAAAATTAATTTATAATAAAATTTTGACGAAAATATCCACCAGAAATTAATTCATTCTTTTAAGAAAAAAGGGGCAAAAGATAATTATTATTATGAAAATTATTGATAAAAAAAAAATTGTTAAGGTCATCAATTCTTAACCTCCTCAAATTGAATTAGAAGATGATTTAAAAAAATATTTTTTTAAAAGAGATGGATGAGCTACTATGGATATGATTAATTATCTTATTCTTCAATGACTTATTTGGATCTTAGGTTTAATTTTAAAAATATGGAAGCGAATAAAATTAAATATAAAAGAAATTTTTGATGAGAAATATGACTGAAGCCCCCCAACAAACTTTGCTTTTGGATATTTAATTAGGGAAACATATTAAAAATATTAAATGTATGTGAATGTATTTATTAAATTAAAAAAAGCATAATTTTGAAGGTTTTGATAGATTTAATAGGAAAAAAATTATCTTAAAAAATTACTCAATATGCAAAATATTTTCGTAAGATGTCAGATGTTTTTAAAATTTTATTTTTCTTTTATAAGATAATGATCTTATGGGATTAATATTACTATAATAATTATGGCAGTAGAATCAGAGGATTTATTGTTTTAACATTGTATGAAAATCTTGACCATCATAATTTTCACATGAAAAATCCTAAAAAAGAAAAAACCATAAAGCTGACCCAATTTAAATGTTTCAACTTGTATTGATTATCGATTATAAGTGATGCCCTTCATCAAGGAAATTATGTGGCAGAAGTTAGGAGTACCTTATGACATGGGAGCTATTTTTAAGAGATTGATTGTTCATTTGTTTGGTCAAACTCATTTGAGTAGGGGAGATCATAGATCAAGAAGTCCAACATAAATCATTATGGTGTTAGTGTTGATGGTGTGCATTGAACATATGAGCAATGACATGCACTGACAATATTAGTGATGGAAAGTGACGAAATCAACAGGCCTCAGTGTAGCCAGACACCAATAGTTAAAGGATTGTAGGCCTGATGATTGTTGTTAGGAGACGGTGGTTAGAGATTCATATTCAGGTGATGATGGTCGTATGATCCTTTGGGTAACGATGGTTAAAGGATTGTAGTTAGCCGACATATATAAGAGAAATTTAGTCGAGCAATGATGGTTAGAGTGTTATAATTAGGCGATAGTGATCAGAGCACGGTAGTCAGAATGACGATTGTTGGACGATCATAATTGGGTAATAGTGGATGAAGGACCATAGTTGAACATTGGCTTTCCGACGATGAATTGGCAATGACAATTCGGTTGTGGTCAAAAAATGGTGTTCAACCACTGGTTCGATGATGATGATCACTTGGTGGGACGATGATCCAATGATGATCCATTCAGGTAGAGAGTGAGGCTCTATTCAGTCAGGATAGTCTAGAAATAACTTTTTAAAGTTTTAATGCACACATACTTTGGGATTCATATCTAATCAAGTTGATTTTTTATTACCAATGTCTCATAATTCTAGAAATTATATTCGATATGTAAGTTGAGATGCAGAGTATTTTCCAATAATAATACATAGTTTCATAAAAATAAATACGAATATAGTTTCTTAAAAAATAAATTATTTTGATAACATCACATTATATTGGCGAATAAATTTGGAATTTCCCTGCCGCTACTTTAACCAAAGCGTATAGTTTGCATTAAATTGTCTTCATTTTTATAAATATCAAAGCATGAGAGAAAGAAAGAAAATTTCCCAAATATATTGTGATTTTATGGCCGCATAATGCAATATTCAGTTTTCAATGTGCAATGACACAAAATAAAAAGGTTGAATACTTTAATTCCCAATTTGGTTTCAAAGATTTATCTAAAATAAAATTTTTTGGCACAAACAAGTACAGTGAGGGAAGATTATTTTATTTTTTGAAATATAGACAATACTAATTTACACAAAATAAACAAGATTTCTCTCTCTCTCTCTCTGAGGGTGTCAAAATTGGCCAATGGGGGTTAGGTTTGGATGTTACCCAAAATTGATCCGTCCCAAAACCTGTCAACCTGAATTCTACCTAAATCCAATCAATCTGAATCCAACCTATTTTGAAATAACCTGCAAGAAAGAGTTAGAAAACAGAGAGGAAATATTGAGGAGTGAAGCTGTAAGCAGTATTCGATTCCATGAACTTCAACAGCTTGATACATGGGTATATATGCTAAGAAGAAGCATCAAAGTTTGTTAGAGGAATCAGAGAACGCAGACTGCGATGGCAGCTTTGTCTGCGCAAGCCACTAACAGTGATGATCGCCTGAGCAAGCCGAGGTGGAGAAGTGGTTTGATAAGTCGGCTTGCTTTTATAAGAGCCTGCACATTTCACTAAGTGCTAACATGCCCCCGCAAACTTATGAGTCACATGACTGAATTGTAAGTTTGTCTCTGAGTGCTTTGAAGCGAGAGAGAGACAGGGGTTTGGTGAGTATATCAGCGGGTTGGTCTAAGGAGTTGATGTGTTGAACTTCAATTTCTTTGGAGAGAATTCTGTCTCGAATGAAATGATAGTCGATTTCAATATGCTTTGTGCGAGCATGAAATATTATTTGCTAAAGCAAGCGCTGAGGTATTGTCACATGAGAGGACAGTAGGAAGGAGTGGTTGCACATTAAAGTCAGTAAGTAATCTCCTTAACCAGATGATGTCAGATGTTGCAGATGCAAGGGCTCGATACTCAGCTTCGGTAGAGGACTTGGCAACAGTTGCTTGCTTCTTGACACACCACGAAACTAGAGAGTTGCCGAGGAATGTGCAAAAGCCGGAAATAGATTTCCGGTCATGATGGTCGGCCGCCCAATCGGAGTCGGAAAAGGAGGTAAGCCGAAGGTTACCTGGAATAATGGGAAGACCAAAATGGCTGGTACCTTGAATGTAGCGTAGTAACCGTTTGAGAGTGGTAAAATCCAGACCAGACGGTTGATGCATATGCTGGCAAACAATGTTGGTGGCATAGGCAATATCAGGTCTGGTAATAGTAAGGTACTGTAATGAACCAGCAATTCGTCTGTAGG